CTTTGTGTGGGGGCACGTGTATTATAATGCATTTGCTCTCCTTTCTTTTTTTTAGTTCCTTTTTGTTTTATCCTACTTATGAAATATTAGAGACGCGAAAGTTTGTAAGCTTTTTTTGTGACGGGAAAATCATCAAATGACTTCACCCGCCCAGGGCAGGTCGGGAGGGAGTTTAGACTCTTACTGACTAAAAACCCCCTCCGTTCCTTCTCCTGCTCTGAGCCGAGGTCGCGGTGCCTCATTGCGCTTACCCCGCACTGAACATCAGCCCTATGGGATCTTATTATGTTTACCCACTTACTTTACCTCTCGGATCCACCTGTATATTCAGTTCCTTTGTATTTACCTCCAAATCTTATAAGTTACCTCAAACAAATTAAACACAGAAGAAGACAATCAGGTTGCGAGACCCAGGCGTTTCCTCCCTTTAGATCTGTAACAGGTTTCTACCCAGACTTTCGTACCAACAAACCTCTAGGTCAAGTTGAAGATGAGGACTCCTCAGAGAGCGCTCTTATAGCTGAGATAATGGCCAGGCTGGCCCTCGTTTTGAGCAGTCTCTTAAGTTACCTACTTTTTTCTTTCACAAGAGCCACGTAAAAAAGATGGAAACATATAAAAAACATGATAAAAAATCTTAGCCATAAACAAATCCAGGTTACAATACCTTACTTAAAGTTATATAACTTCTTAAGAACAAAACACTAATTAGTACGATTGTGGAATGTTTCCCATATTACGCAGATTTGTTTCCCACGGTGCCTGAGCCTGAGCAAGCGTGATCTAGATGCTCTTCGGCGATAGCTTTTAGTGTCAAACGTGCTTAGGTCACGCCAAATTTGTACTGAGGTACTTGTTAAGTAAGTGAACTTCAAAATTCGCGAAGTGACTACATTTGGTATTGAAAAATGTCAAGTACTTCTTGTCACGATGTTGTGTAGTGAAGTTCTGTGTTGTTGTTTGTCGTGTCTTCTGTCTGATTGTACGATTCATTTTGTCGTTATAATAGTATTACTTTGAACGTAGTTTCTTTAAATATAATAACAATATTTTTTTTTCAGCAGACCCGCGAAAAACATAGACTAGTAAATAAACACAGTGTAAAAAAGAACAAATAAACAATTGAATAACATAACCCACGTTGTTTATCTAAATTATTAAAACAATAACAATAATAAAGTCATAAATTAATTTAAAAAAATACATTTCATAGTGCAAGTTAGCTTTCACTCACGCGCATTTTAAATATGGAATCGAAGACAAAATTCACAAAAACATTAAATAGACATTATAAGTAAAAGGTAAAAGGCTTCCCATTTAATCTTTCTTAAGTCTATGTAAGTTGAATAAAGTACCGTTATTCTTGATTATCAATTATAAATGACAAGGCAAAATAAAATCCAATAAATAAATCGCATTAGACAAAACTTTTGAATTTTTAAGTACCTTTAGACAGAACTGCAACACCCATTCAATTAGGAGCTAACTAATTTGCCACTTGACAGTCGTTCAATCACTTTAATACATAAAATAATTTATACAAACCAACCAAGGCTTGTTCCCTTAGGTACTTTACATTTTCTCAAACACACGTGTTACCTGGCCAAGGTTTCGTCGACAACTTTTAAGATTATGGTCAAGATCTGAACTAGATTTAGAAACTGATCGAATAACATGAAACTATTTAATTATATTGGCTATTTTAAAAGACATTTATTAGTCATTTGATTTAAAAAATATATTTATTATTACTATCTTTGATTTGACACATTTTTATGTAAACAGTACATATTAATTAAGTCACAAATAAGAAGAAAAGAGAAATCTTTGAGGCCCGGTGTGGCCTAAGACAAATCGAAAAGACTCATAAAAGTAGTTTCATTTCACTTATACCCTGCGTGACTCTTCATAAACTTATTTTCAAACTTTAATTGGCACCTACATAAAACAAAATAAAGTAATTATTAATTGTAAGTATAAGTAGTAGCATCAAATGAAATACAAATACCTGCATACGAAACAGTGCCGGTAGAAAATGCAATACAAAATTAAGCAGACAAGCCAAGCAATGAACTTTATCGAAGGCCTCACTAAAGTCAAAAAAGTAAAAAAAGCTTAAGAGTTTTATTAAATGTTATGTATATAAACGTATTCGCATTTCGATTAAGATATTCAAAAATATGTAACTGGATTACTAGTATAAAAACATTTAAATTGATTTATACTCAATATTTGTAAATTCGTTTCGATGAACTACCTTTCTGACATTTAATTGATTTCGTTATTCACTTAAGTATCGATTAGATCTGAACATTAAGCGAAACCATTAAGAATAAATAGATTTCTCACGTTTTTTGTACCTATTTAGAAACCTTGTTTTTGAGGGACAGCTTTTGGGATAAGTGTTACGGCAATTTGTTCAATGGTCAATATATAATTACTTTTCGCCCATGATGAGACGAGAGGGAGTGTCAGATTCTTACTGAATACCCCGACCTTCTCCAGCTCCAGGTCGAAGCCGATGTACATACATACAAGCGCAATGCTTGCCCCATAACCCCGTCTGAGTATCAAACCACGTTGGCATTAGCTTCTTACTAGTTGGATCTAGTCGAGGTATCTCGCTAAACAGAATAATCGAATAACCCAGAAAACATAATTTGTGTTTGATGCTTCGGCACGAATGGGTCGGCTCGACCGGAGTGATACCATGGCCTCACAGAAAACTGGCGTGAAACAACTACAACGCCGTGTTTCACCGTGTGAGTGAGGTTACCGTAGACCCAATCCTTCCCCTCCCCCAATCCCTCCCAATTCCTAAATCTCCAAAACACTAATCCCTAAAAGGTCGGCAACGCACTCGTAACACCATCAGGTAATCCGTCTGCTCGTTTGCCGACCTATTATTACATAAAAAAAGTAATAAATATTACTAAATAGGCTCTATCGTGAGCCATACCTACTAAATTAATTAGTAAATAACGTCTAACTCACTTGAATTTACTGAGAAAAACTCTACGAGTTTCAAGTGACAACGTTTGTATTGGCAACATTTGTATTGCCTAAATGCAAACTTTTTGGGCCAAAATGCACCTGTTCCAAGTTTAAATCTACCTTCATCGCATTATTTTCTTCGACCACACACGGCATGAGTATCAATATCGTTCCACTGAACATTATTATGAGCCATAATAAATAAAATGTTAACTTTATTAGCCAAATTTGCAATTCTGTAATGATTTGAGTCATCTACCTTGCCTTATACGTACGATATTAAAGCAACATTCTTTTGTACTGACGGTGCATGGCTTTTATCATATATATAATACGGAACTATCATTGATCTTTTGATTTCATTTCTCAAGCGTAGCACGAAGTCTGAATTCATGCCTATAATTATAATGTCAAGATAATATATTTGTATACCTATCTACCAAGCACATTACAAAAATGTCTTTTTTCTTTATCTTGAAGAAGTTCAAAAATGGAACTACCGAACCAGTCGCTGTGAATTTGGCTTGATATTAAGAACTGGTAGATTAAAAATCCATAATTTACGATGCGTGAATCAAGCTCTAGTTCTGTCAATAAATTCAATATTAGCTTAACATCCGTCAATTAAATTTGATTAAAAGCAAACAATGGTGGACGCAAAGGAATTCATCGTCGTTTGACATAAATCTGTAGTGAACTGTATAACAATATCAATGTTCTATTTAGTCTCGCCAAATGTTAAGTGAAGGGACGACTAATCACAATAAATCACTAATGTGCTTAGAATTGCGATATTTTGTTACCACGAAATATTGAGCATTTGCCGAAGGATTAAGCCGGTTGTTGGTTTTAAGTCCTATTGGTGCAAAGTGAATAAAACCAGTATTTGATGTAGTAATTACTCTTCTACCTTTTAAATTACATTACATCTACCAATTAAGAATCATCGCCAGTTCAGCCGAGATTGCGGGGTAAACGCCATTAGGCACCGCAGCGTCGACCTTGAGCAGGAGAAGGATTTTTAGTCAGTAACAGTCTGACACCTCCCGCTCCAACTTGGGCGGGAGAAGTCATTGGATGATTTTCCCCTCACCAAAAAAAAAACTCAATATGCAAATTGAACATCGAACACAAAAGATATGATTTAGGTAATGCCGGAGATGAAGAATCTAATTTGTTCGTGCAAAACAAAGGACTCAACAGAATTCAAGAAAAATCTCTTTGTCTTTTGTAAGATTTATTCACCCTTCCTCTCGTCTATAGTGTTTTGACATTGTGATAGGTCTCGATACTTACCATTCTATTACGCGTTTCAAAAGTAATAAGATACGGTAAAAGTAAAAAAATATTAGCTACTTCTAAATCCCCTATTTTCATTCGATCATGAACAATCATAAATTGTTCTATGATCACAAAATGTTTGGGTTTCCCCAGTTTCAATTCGAAAATCGTCTCCATCAGACAGAATCACGATTCGCCTTTCAAATCGATGACATTTGTAAAGTGGCAAGGATATCACGAATATAGGGGGAAATCCAGTCGTAAAATATAACGACAATGCACGATATATGGTTCAGTTTAGACATACAAAATCGACGGTTTTATGCTTATCCAATTAGTCAGAAAACAAATTGTGCCTTAGTGCCGTATTAATAGGATTAGGATTTTAGTTCCGAGGATTATATTACTTTAAGTAAGGCCTGGGCCGCACTACTATATGGTTGCAAATCGCATAATTTTGTGAAACAAGAAGCCGCTGCAGACCGCTCGGTTTAGTTCCGCGACTGTTTTCAATAAATTTAGCAAGATTATGTGTGTGCGGTTGGAGCCTTAAGTATACCTCGTGTATTCTCAAGGACCAAAATAGATGGTACCTACCTACCAACCTACTTGGTATGCCATTGCCTCAATGAACAATAAAAGCAGTTTCATCTATTTGTTAATTATTACTTAGGAACGACTAGTAAGCGAGTTGTATCTAATAATGAAAATATTTTTTGTTTCAGATAAACTGTGGACCGTGGAATAGTTACGACAGTGAATTATGTTAGTGTGTTGTTTCTACAATGACAAGATAGCAGTGTTAACGATCAAATCGTTCACGTGATGCCAACACGTTATTTACAACCGAGACTGTTGGCTTAGTGAGTTGACATTTCGCTTCAATGCCGCGTGTGTAGGCAATGGCTTTGACAAACTTCACGCTCACGGGCGTCGGTACGGCCACGCCGGCGTTCGTATCTACCACCGCATCATCACCCCTACGAGTCGGACTTGATGACTTATTATATTCACCTGATGAATATCAACAAGATGTCCCAGCACAACCTTCAGAAAATGAACCATTCATTCCACCAAACCAGCGTCGGCCAAAAGTCAGAAAGCGTGCCGGCACTGCCTATCTACCGCCACCCAATCAGTATATGCATTACCAAAACGAGGCTCAACAAAATCCTTATCCAGCACCCTTGCACACTCAAGTTTATCCACAAAACTCAAGAGTAAACGTGCAGATAGACAATCAGCGCGTCAAAGAAGTGAATTCACCGTATGATGCGTCAGGGTCATATGATAATACAGGACAGTATATACATGATCCTACGGGTGACTATGATTATGAACAGAAAAGAATGAATCAGCGCCCGTCTGGCCAACCGTACAATCCTGGGTACGCGGATGCGCCATTTCCACAAGCCATGAAGCCAAACCCCTCATCTAGTCGGAGGTTCGATGAAAATTCGAATCAAAATATAAATCAAAATGTGAATAACTTCAATTTCAACAGACCGCTTAGTAGTACCCCAGCCCCAACTAGGCCGCCAAGTAATCAAGGAAGTCAGGCTGGTGATGGTAGTCAGGTTGGAAAAAATCCCCCGGAGAGACCGCGAGGTTTTACTAAAGTGGAAACTAGTGGGTCTGGTGGCAAGACTCAGTTACATGCAGTTCTCGATTACGACGACGAGGATTACTATGACGATCCTGATCCAGGTAAGATAAATTTATTTTTAACACAATACTACAGGTTGATAAAAGACGATTTACGAGACGCTGTTAAATTAAAAAAAACATCTATAGATGTAATCTACACAATTCAACCTTCATTTCGGTTGAATCCTTAACCTTGATTAAACTTTAGCTTTTGTTTAATCGACGTTGTCGGAAATCCTTGCGGTTCTATACTGTCAACAGTCAAGCAATTGTCAAACAAATAAATGTCCGTTTGTTGATGACCGCTTCTTTTGCCACCTAAATGTTTGTCAGCAATCATTTAATAAAGAATAGGCTTGGAATAAAATGCAAATTATGTTTGAGAATAGTCTCGACCGATTACAATATTGACCTTCGTGAAATTAGTCTAGTGTTACGTCTGTTGTAGAAGGTTTGAATAACAAAATGCATAAAGTGCGAAAAACTTGAACCATTGAGTTTTAACGTGCCAATATCATTTTGGTATCCCCGTGAAGAAGAATATCTGGAAACAAAAGCAATAAAATCATCACGATAAGAATAGAAAATATAATCTAGTTACTAGTAACATTACAAAACTTAAATGACAACAGATGTAATAACAATAATACAAATACATGAAACACACTATTACACAATCCACATTAAAACTTTAAATACAAGTTCCTAAGTTAACAACTTAACAACTCCACTCCTATGTAGGCTTGGACGGTAGGAGACAACGTTGACCAATCGAATACACACGTATCTACAAATACACAATTATCTGACACGTATGTACGTATAGGTCATAGTAATTGGAGTATCTACGTACTAGCTAACACGTTTCACTTATCTAAGTCAAAGACCTTCGATCGTTTAACCGGTCCCCAATGCCATGCATACAATGGACGTCGACACACAATGCTTACCATTGTCAGCTTCAGGCTATTTCATTTCCTTATTATCAAGTGAATGTGGTTGTTAAACAAGATACTTACAAGTACTTATTTGTTTGATTAGTACAATGTTAGTAGATTCTGTTGTTCTTTAAAAATACCTTTACTTATTTTCTTTCTTATGTCTCCTATTTCATTCGTGTATCTTAGAAAGTTTTAATTGCATTTTTTCGTAATCCTTTTCCATCATTATCGTCTTGCATATAATTGATTTTTTTTTAGTATTTTTGTTAACCATCACCAGTAATTATTAAAGATTTTATTTAAATTGCTTGCTTTTCAAATGTAACCTTAATCCAATTTAAATACTATTTGATCTTTTTACATTTGTCTAAATTGCAAGGCAAATAGGTTCAAAGCTTGACCAAGTTACCACACTTGCTATAACCATGGGTAGGTTTTTAAATTGACTCTTTTTATACATGAAAGTATTCTCTAACAATTATCAAGAAACTAAGGATGATGCGGAGAAGCATAAGCTAGAAGGTAAAAATACCAACAACTTAAGAAAACGCAGCTTAAAAGTTTTGTAACATAAATCTTTTAGCTATAAAAATTCTTCATTATTAACACGGAGTCTATTATAAGAGTTGAGCCTACCTAAAAAGAAGGCTCAATCAAGTCCGCTAACGACAAGTTTCCATAACAGCTACGTAATATGGATCATAATATCGCCCATTTTCGTACAAAACGTGATGTGGTGTAATAATAAAGATAATCTTAGTTAACGATACATTACAATGTCAAGGTAATCAAACAATAAAATTACTGAATAGCACAAAATATTGCATACGAATTATTGTTTTAGATTTTTTATACTACCTACCACTTTTTTAGGTCGAATGATGTCTTATGACTTCTGTCGTCTGGATTGGGCGAGAGGGAGTGTCAGACTGGCTCTTACTAGCTAAATCCTTTTCCTTCTCCTGCTTCTAGACAGGGATAAATTATTCGGGTACATTATTGTGCTTTCAACCGCAACCCCTGCTGGACATCAGTCTTATTGGGTCCTGTCTCTGGTGGGAACGGCTTTGTGTTACGTGGAACGCGCCGTACGCTTGGATCTGGTACTGGTCGGGCTGGCTCACTGTCGCACCCGAGCTTATGGTAGCTGTAGATTATAGCGATCCCCAACCGCCTCCTGCAGTCAGCGAATTAGTTACCTTGCGCACTCCGCTTCCTTCTTTGTAAGCATGACAGTGGAGTTTTCCAGTTTCTCTCGTTTCTAACAATGGTTTCGGCTAAAGCCTTTATCGTGTCCTCCGATTGGTCCACACAGTTCCGACACTTAGGCCACTTGTTTCCTCCCGCTGAACCCAAAACAGGTACCTACCTCCCGAAACTTCTGTGTCAGTCATTTTAATTACGAAAGGTTCGTTCAGGCGCTCAATGAGTGCATATAATTCTCATACGGCAAGCAACAACTTCACTTCTTGAAAGTACAAGGATATTTATGCGTAACACGATAATTTTGTATGACGTATTTCTTTCACTTTTGTAATTCTCTCCCTTAATTTTCCTTAAGACTTAGGTTATAAAGTAGGTTGATAATTGTTTTTTAAGTATTTTTTTTTACATTTCACTTTTTTACGTGCTCGGTGATGTTTGGACAAGAAGGTTTGAACTTCTTCGGAAATACATAGTGCGGTACCTGTGGATACATGGGGACTCTATAAAGTTACTAAGCGTACGATGAAAGATCAGGCAGAAGGGATTTGTATCCCCTGATTTGGAAAAGAGTCACTTATGCATACCAGGGCATAAAGGGCAAAGTCTTATTTTTTCCCCTAGGATTTTTTCTTGTGCCATGGGTGCGTTTACAAACATATACTTCACACTCAGACCCGTTTTTTGGGGATCTCTGAAAATTTCTCTTCTCTCGCCCAGGGAATGGTGAAAGGGAGTGTCAGACTCCTACTTCCTAAAATCTCTAGTTCCTTCTCCTGCTCCAGGCCGAGGTCGCGGTCCTTATTGCGCTTAACCCGCAACCATCACACTCAGACCCGGAACAACAATTTGTGGATCAACAAAAGATCAGCAAAAAATTGTTTCCAGCCACCGCGTCAACCGCGCAGCCAATAATATGAAGCTCCAACAAATGAATAAATAAAGCTCCATTCATTCGTCGACTAACCCAGAATTTGAAAAGAAGACAGTTACCCTAGTAAATGTAACGTCACATAGAATTACATTATTTGTAACTGGTATTTTCATTAACAGTATATAAATAATTTGTTCTCGTTACTTTCAAATGTATTCTGTTTATAGGTCAACTACCTATCAAGCAAGATTATTAAGCTGTAGTGTGTGAATATTCGATCAAGAATATAATCGACATGGTACCATCAAAACATTTAACTAAAAGAAAGAATTTTGCAAATCGGTCCAGGAGTCTTTGAGTAATCGGTGTACATAAATAAAAAAAAAAAATACGCGTCGAATTGAGAACCTCCTCCTTTTTTGAAGACGCTTAAAAAGTAGATCTCAACCAGCTACGTCTCGATTTCAAGAACATAATAAAATACGGCCCTGAGGTATTTCCAAGTTCATAACAATAGTATAATTTACTCTGTGTACTATTTAAAAAAACTGTGATTAAATCTGTACACTTTATCAAATACAGAGAGAACTGGTTTAAATGCAGTTACAACGATAACAACTTAAAATAACATAACATTTATTAATTACGTTCTTAAAATCTTGCACCGAATTAATAAGACTCCACATTATTTTAAACAAATATTCCAAAAAATACTCGTTGAAAAAAGTCACAAAAAAAAATTATACAAAATTCCGTGGTCCTCTTAATAACGTCAGCGAGTTACGTGACGATCGAAAACGGATGTAATATCTGGATTAATTAAAATATTTTATAATGTTACCTAACTTTAAATAACATTTCCGTATGTAACGTTTACACAAAAGTTGGTCTTGTACGCAGACAAGTCTGCGAGGTACACGTAAGAGTAACTTATAAAACTTCGACACGACCTTGGTTTCACTTTCGAACTTGTAACATCATCTCTAGAGGTCGGAGCACTCGGCACATCGGAATTGAACGAATTACCTCACTTCTCGACGTTCACGTTACATTTCACACGCGGAACCTGCGCTTGCGCATACAAACGGTCTTTTTCGATATTTAATTTTGACAGAACGTGCCTATTAAAACAATCGGTGGCATTAGATATGAACTAGGTATGATGTCATTCGTATCTGAATGAGATTTTATAAGATTGAATTATTTGTTTTATGCTCATAGAATAAAATAAAGGAGGTTTTAATGTCCTATATATTTATATTATTTATTGCATTCTACAATGTAGGTACATAAGTTTGAAAAGGAAATATAAATTTGTCACAATTATGGACCCTGATAGGCACAGCAAGCTAATAATTAAAAGAAAGGAAGGCGGTTTATAATGTAGATATAGTATTATTAATTATTTTACGGGTCGAATCAATAACTAGGTATTTATTATTATTATAGTAAGTTAAATACATTTTCTATGTTTGTCTCCGTGTTTGAAATAGGTACATTATGTTTTTAGCACCGATTCATTGACAATGTTTATGTAAGTGTATGGTTTGGCATTTCGTAATGGAGAGTGTCGTCTCTTAACCCACTAGAGGGGAGCGTGAATGCCGACGTTTTCGTGCTGTCAAATGCATAATTTACTGTTTTGTTTTTCATTATGTTCGAAAACACTATAAGCAGAGACATTGTTTTACCAAGTAATATACCTACATGATCTTTTTAAATAAAGAACAGATACCCATGTAATACGAATGTGAAAACGTAACTCTTTTTGTAACAGTTACTGATACCGGTTCTTGGAGTGTTGACATCTCTAATCTGCTGTCAGTACATTTAAGATTTTTTTGTAAATTTTTATTAACCTTGGAAATTACACACAATTAGGGGCATTGTTATTTTCACTATTCTTAGACATAGATCCTTGCATATTGCAATTTTTAATAGGATCGTATTCGTTTAAAATACGCCTAGTCAAAGCCCAGTCCGAGATAAAACTTATTATTAATATGTTAGTATGCGGCCAGCTTTAAAGAGCGCTTGTGTGA